GTTTTCCAGTTGTCTGTCAAGTCTTCTGGGAAAATCAGGGTAATTGTTATGCCCAGCCATGCTGTGTTGGTGGGACAAGCCATTGATCTAATGGCATTATGTTCTTATGAGATGGACGTCTGGACACTGCAGACCCGTCCCCGGCTTTAGATGGAGGCTTTGTGGGATTCCACAGCTCCAAATGTGTTGGATAATTCCTCATGATTAGTGTCGTGTCCTGCTATTAATGTGCTTCAGGCCCCGGAGTCTGTGGCTCAGCCTGAAGGGCCCCCTGCCTGCCACTCTGAGTTATTCCCTGGTCTCTTGTTTGTAGAGCAGAACCTGGGTACCTGCTCCCTCCCCCACAACCAGGGGACAAGCACGTGCCCAGAGCTAGGGCAGTGCAGGCTGAATGATCACACTGGAGAACCATTCCCTAGAACAGTGGTTTTCAAACTTTTTTTCTGGTGGCCCAATTGAAGAAAATTGTTGATGCCTATGACCCAACGGAGCTGGGGATGAGGGGTTTGGGGTGTGGGAGGGGCAGAGGGTTGGGATGGGGCCAGGAATGAGTGGTTCAGGGTGTGGGAGGGGGCTCTGGGCTGGGACAGGGGGTTGGGGTGTGGGAGGGGTTCAGGGCTCTGGGCTGGGGGTGCAGGATCTGGGGTAGGGCCGGGGATGAGGGGCTTGGGGTGCAGGAAGGGGCTCCGGGTTTGGTGGGGGATCAGGGCTGGGCCAGGGGATTGATTACCTCAGGTGGCTCCCGGTCAGCGGTGCAGCAGTGGTACAGAGGCAGGCTTCCTTCCTGTCCTGGCACCGCAGACCGTGCTGTGCCCTGGAAGAGGTGAGCAGCAGGTCCGGCTCCTAGGTGGAGGTATGCAAGCAGCTCTGCATGGCTCTCGCCTGCAGGCACCGCCTACCCCCCTCCCCCCAGCTCCCATTGGCTGGTTGCCCATTGGCTGGTTGCCCATTGGCCCCCACAGGCACCGCCCCCAGTTCCCATTGGCTGGCCAGTATTCGAGGCGGGGGCAGTGCGCAGAGCCCCGTGGCTCCCCCACACCTAGAAGCTGGACCTGCTGATGGCTGCTTCTGGGGCGCAGCGCGGTGTCAGAACAGGTAGGGACTAGACTGCCTTAGCCGGGCAGCACCGCCAATGGGACTTTTAACAGCCTAGTCGGCGGCGCTGACCAGAGCCGCCGCGACCCAGTGCTTTACATTCCGCGACCCAGTGCTTTACATTCCGCGACCCAGTACTGGGTCGCAACCCGCAGTTTGAAAATCACTGCCCTAGAGGATCATCAGCTGACTGATCTGTGGGGTCAGAGATATGGGAGCTGGGGGAAGGACCAGAGTAGCAACCATAGCTTGGTGGGTGATAAAGCAGGCTCAGCTAAGCCACAGAGCACTCTAGTTTCAAACACCCGATAGATATTAACTAGCAGGCAGCCTGGGGATGGGGAAGCAGTCCTGCCACCCTCCGTGAATGCTTGCTAGACCTGATGGGGTAAATGTGGTGTGCGTGGTAGTAAGGGGCTGATGGCTCTGTCTAGGGTTGGATACAGGAAGGCAGATGGACATGGGTTAAGATGAGAAAACAGGTCTAGCAATTGTAAATTAGAAGCTGCTGTAGCTTCTGTTTGAGATGAGATGGTCTCTGGCGTGCAGCACTAGCAGTGTGTGTGTGTGTGTGTGTGCACAGTCTGTCTTTGAACTGTGTGTATGTGTTGCACATGTGGTGACCTGGCTAGGTGAGGCTATGCTAGCTGTGAGGAGAGCCAGAGGCAAACCAAGGCAAAAGGGATAACTTTACATTTATAGGGAAAACCCCCAAATTGTACCAGGAGCACAAATAATATCGAACATTACCAAAGACTTACTACTTATAATAATAAGCTATATAGGTGACAAACTCATTAACCTTTGTGTGCTTGTCAATGCTGTGCGGTTGGTACCAAATGCATTGCTGTTAACAAGAACACAAGAGCACACTCAACAATATCCTGTGTCACTTCAGAGAAGAATCAATGTTTCCTCTCTTTGGCTGTAAGTCCAGTTCCACTCTTGCTGTCGTTCGTGTCCCCCTCCCCCCCCTTTTTTTTTTTTTTTTTTTTTTGCTCCTCTTTGGCTCAAAGTGCTCCTTAGATTCTGTGGCTGTACCTCTTTGCGTTTATCCACACCTAGTGGGCCCTCACCTGGCCATTGGGCATCTTTTGAGCTGTGTTCTGTCAAGATGTTCAAAGAGTTTCTCTCTGTTTTCAAGTACTGTAGTGCATTTTTGGGGGGGGGTTCTCGTTTACCATTTTCAGGATCTGTCTGCATCTCACGCAGCTTTGATCAATTCCCTTTTTCCCCAATTATATTTCAGATTTTTTCCCCCTTGATTCTCTCTCTCCGGTAAGTCTGTAGATTTGATTTCCCTCCCTTCTCTAACAGTGTCTGCGCACGTACCCAGGTCTGGTTTTTTTTTTTTTTTTTTTTTTCCTACTTCTCCTGACCTGAAACCTTTTCCTATTTTTCCTTCTTTCCTCTTTTTCGCTTCCCAGTCCTCTGCTTGTATTCTCCTGTTCTTTTATTTGCTCAGCCCAGCTCCGGTTCGCCCACTAGCTCAGCATCTCCATTCTCCTTCTCTAACACTTCTGCCAGTTGCCCCTTTGGGTGGCTTCGGGACCCCCTCCCCAGCACAATCTGCCCTCTCATTGGCCATCTCTCTCCCCGGACAGCATGCTGGGCAGCTGCCGCAGGTGCTAATGCCAGGTGCGGGTTACTACCCATACGCTATGTAGTATCTATTTGTGTGTACATGGGTGTGAGCATCCAGGGGTGTGTCCACGCATGTCTGATGTGTGCCATGCAGTGGAGGGGTGTGTGTGCCACGTGCCATTCGCTTCTCTCTTCTCCCCCACTGCCATCCTGCGCAGGCAGCTGCCGGCTTTGGCTTTGCGGTGGGAAAGGAAAGGAAGTGGTTCCCAGAAATCCCAGGAGAGCTCTGATTGGTCTGTGGTGAGCTCATCTGTAATTCCCCTTGGGGGAGGGGGCGTGCAGAGGGTTGATGTCAGCAGGAAGCCAGGCTGATGCAAGAGGGTGCAATGAAGTTCTGTGGCAGCGGAAAGAGAGAGGGTTGGCTTTCCTGCTCTGGCGGCATGTGTGTCCTGGGCGTGTTTGTGTGTGATCTGTGGGAAGTAAGAGCTGGTAATACATGAGCTGACTGCATTGTCCTACTGAGGTGCTATAAGATGGCCCATCATTGTGGTGTCGGGGCTCCTAACCAGGTTCCTGGCTGGGGACATGCTCTAGCGGAGAGTTGTGTCTAGATCTCCTGTGCCAACCCTGAGCAGCATGGGGTTGATAAATTCCTCTCTCTCCACGCCCCCACCCCCACCCCAACCCTTGCTATGGTGTAGCTCAAACTGCAGGCGCATGGCCATGGGGTTAAACCAAAACCACACTCGGGCAGTGCCGAGTTAGCCCCTGAAGAGCGACATGTGCATTGAAGCAAATACCCCAGACCAAGCAGCTGTTCTTTGCCTTGCATTGGTCAGGGGGGACAGGTGTTTAGCCTGGAACCCCCATGCTGTGCCCGCTCCCCATTTAGTACCACAGGGCCTGGGCCACTTATCCCCTTGAAAGTAATCCTGGGAATTCTCTGGCCTGTGTTTGCAGGGGCTCAGAGCAGCTGATCCGAGTAGTCTGTTCTAGCTCAAATGCTGGGCATCTACTGATTACCCTCTGGCCGAGGGTGGCACAGAGGCACCTGGCCTGCTGGCAGGGTCGGGGATGCAATTGCCTGAGGCGCCCTGGAGATGGGATCTCCTGCTGGAGCCTCCTGTGTTTTTCTTCTAGAGGCTGGTCGCTGACTTGCACCCCAGCCCCGTCTGTGTGAGTTCCCTGTGTCAGCATGGGGGTGTGAGCTATACACCCGCCAATGGGCGCTGCTCGGCAGCGAGTGCCTCCTCGCCCCTGGATCAGGCCAGCAGCTGCTGTAGCTCTTGGCTTTGAAGTGGTTTCTCCAGTGGTAATGACAGTCTGCCTTGCTGGCTGGCATAGTCCCCCCTGTTCTCAACATGGGCACAGCCTTCCTCTGCCCTGAGCCTCCCCTAGTGCCCACCTGCTGGGCCCGGCCTGTGGCTTCTGTGGGGTTGGCTGCTGCATGATATAAACCTCTCTCTGGCTCGCAGCCTCTTAGAAGCCTCTGGGATAACAAGCAGGGGGGATGATTCCTGACTCCCCACTTTGATCCTGCCTGTGGGTCCAGGGAGCTGCCCCCAGCCAGGGCTGGGGGAACCCTACAGGAAGGCTCAGCAGGGTTTTATCTTTCTCCAGATGCACCCCTCGCATGAGGTATCTGCCCACAGGGGTTTCTGGTCTGCCCTGCAGAGCAGGTGTGATTTAAAGCAGACTTGGTATCTACCTCTCCCGTGGGGGCAGGGAACTCATCTGCCTCCCTCCCCCCCCAATCTGGCTCACCCAGGCCAAAGCGGCAGGACACCCCACCGGACTGAAATCGAGCCGTCCATATCACACACAGCGCCTGGCCCCCTCTCTTGCTGCACTGTGACCCACTAGCTACATCAGAGTCACTCCTGGGCAGCCTCACCTGCCCTAAGGGCCTCACCAGGAAATGGGGCACGGTCTCTGTCATGGTGCTTCTTGGTGCTGGTGCTGCTGGGTTCCTGAGCCGGGCCAGGTCAGGGAGTGTCTTCTTCCTAGAGGTGAACTCGCCAGGGCAGGGTGGAGGGGGCCGTGCGGGGGAAGCGCGCCCAGCGCACAGGATCCAGAGCACCCATGCCCAGGGCTATCGGAGACCAGGCAGCAGGAAGTTCTTGGAGCTGGGGGAGGGGGGGGCATAGCAGTCCTAACTCCTGCAGAAGGGCATTGTGGGTGCTGTGCCAATCGCCACGTCACCGAGTGGGCCTGGGCTGTGGCCGGGCAGAGTTGCAGGGGGTAGCAGTGGGGATAGGAGCCACGTGGGAGCCCCTGCTATCCAGGGAGGTGGGCTGACCCTATGCTTCTCTCTCCTGCAGGATGAGCAGATTGACTGGGAGAAGCCGGTTCTGACCCAAGCCGAGATCGAGCAGAAGATAAAGGAATACAACAGCCAGATCAACAGCAACCTCTTCATGAGCTTGGTGAGGCCAGGAGCGCGGCGGGTCTGCGCCCGGGCGATGGGGCATGGCAAGGAGCTTAGAGCTTCAGATTCAAACTCTCAAAAAGGGGCTGTGCCCTGAATCCATTCCAGGGGGATCATGGCTCCATGTCCAGGTCTTCCCTGCTCCCAGGGGCTGCATCCGGAGCCCATTCCAGGGGGCACAGGGATCCAACTCTGGGTGTTCCCTGCCCCCAGGGGCTGCACCCAGAGCCCATTTCATGTTCGCCACCCCATTTTCCTGCCCCACTCCCCAGCTCTGTCCAGCTCATTCTCTCTCTGGCTCTGCTTCCTCCCAGAACAAAGATGGCTCCTACACTGGCTTCATCAAGGTACAGCTGAAGCTGATTCGGCCGGTTTCGGTGCCAGCCAGCAAGAAGGCGCCCTCCATTCAGGACGTCAATAAGGCACCGCGCTCCCAGGTGGTGACGCGCCGCACGTCCTTCTACCTGCCCAAGGACACGGTCAAGCACCTGCACATCATCTCCCGCACCCGCGCCAGCGAGGTCATCGAGGCCCTGCTCAAGAAGTTTATGGTGGTTGACAACCCCCGCAAGTTCGCTCTCTTCGAGCGAGCTGAGAAGGACGACCAAGGTACTTGGCCTCCTCTCCTCCCTTGGGCTCAGTCCCTATCTCAACCGGCTTTAAAACCAGCCAGAGCTATTCCCGGTGTGTAGATTATACTAGGGTGACCAGTTGTCCCGATTCTATAGGGACAGTCCCGATTTTTGGGTCTTTTTCTTATATAGGCTCCTATTACCCCCCCACCCACCCCCGTCCCAATTTTTCACACTTGCTGTCTGGTCACCCTAGATTACACTGACCAGCCAGGACTTAAGTCTTACCCTGCCACAGTGGCTGCCCCACTTCCTCACAGCACCTGCTGCTGAGAGAGGCTGGGGCTGGAGTAGCTGGGAGCTCCCCCCACAACCAACTTTCCTGCCCCACTCCCCCCGTGTCCCCTGCTGGGAGAGGTTGGGGCTGGAGTAGCCGGACCCCCCACAGCCAGTACTCCTGCCCCCTCCCCACAGCGCCCCCTGCTGGGAGAGGCTGGGGCTGGAGTAGCTGGAGCCATCTGCTCCACTGTACTGAGCTGCGTGGCCCGTCTATCATTGCAGTGTACCTGCGGAAGCTCTCAGACGAGGAGCAGCCCCTGCATCTCCGGCTGCTGGCTGGCCCCAACGAGAAGGTCCTCAGCTTTGTTCTGAAGGAGAACGAAACTGGAGAGGTCAATGTGAGTCTGGGAATGCCCTGATGTGTCTCGAGTGAGAGCCTGAGTCCCTCTGGAAGCCTATGGGTTGTGGGAAGGGTGTTACAGCACTGCCCCCTGCTGGCTGCCTCGCTGACTGGCCCTGATGGCAGGGCCAGATGGCTGGAAAGGGGGAATTGAGTGAGTGCAGAGGGATGTCACAGGTTCTTGTAAGCGCCCCTTCCTGGCCACCCACCAGGCTTGCTGCAAGGGGAATCCGAGCCTCTGTCCTCAGTATCCCCAGGATGCTTCAAGCTCCTGGAGCCAGGGCCAGCTCTAGGCACCAGCACTCCAAGCATGTGCTTGGGGCGGCACTTTTTCCAAGGGGCAGCACTCCGGCTCCTTTTTTTCTTTTTTTTTGCTTGGGGCGCAAAAAGCCGGGAGCCGGCCCTGAGTGGAGGTGAGCTGCGGCGGTGGGGGGCGTGGGGAGGGCAGCAGGAAGTAACCCGGGGGGCGGGGGGGGGCAGAGGAACCGCTCCCCCCGTCCGTCCCCCCCCCCAGCTCACCTCCACTCCACTGCTGCCTGCTCCCTTGAGCGCGCCGCCGCTCCGCTTCTCCCCCACAGGCTTGCCTGGGAGGGAGAGGTAGGAGGGGAAGTGCGGCGCGCCCAGGGGAGGAGGCGGGGCCAGGGATTTGGGGAAGGGATTGGAATGGGGCGGGGAAGGGGCGGAGTTGGGACGGGGCCGGGGGGGCACGGGAAAATTTTTTGCTTGGGGCGGCAAAAAACTTGGAGCCGGCCCTGCCTGGAGCCTGAACGGAGTCCAGCCACTGCCCCGGTCTCAGGATCCCTAGGCACACTCATGGCACAGACCTCGCATCTGGCCACCCCGCTCCAAGTGCTGGAACCCGCTGTACAGTCACCTGCCCTTTGGGGCACAGCGCTGACCCTTCACACTCCCCAGTGCGTGAGCACACCCCGCTCCCAGAACTCCTCCCGAAAGGGGTGATGCCGGTTTCAATTTAACTCTCTCAGGGGCGCACAATAGTTGGGAAGCCGTGCACACGTGCACACTCGCTTTGTACAGTCTTTCAATTTGATGCTTTTTATATTTGTTGATGTGATGGGCAGAAGATTATAGACCGTACAAAACAATCAAACACCCTAAACGCGATGTCCCTCACAAGCTCACCCTTCCCTTGGGGAACATCTGTGTTCTGGCAGGTGGGCACCCCGTTGCCTAGCCTGTCCCTGCCGCAGCCTTCCTCTTCTTCATCTGCTGCAAAAAATGGCTCACTCCTGGACCTTTCCCCTCTGTGAGTTCCTTTATAGACTCCGGGGGTGCACCTGCTTCCTTTATTCTCCTCCTGGTAACTTTCCAAACCCCCCTCCCTTCAGACAGGGGCAGGAAGTGTCTTTTCCCAGCTGGAGCAATCCCCTTGTCCCAAAGCATTTTACTTTGAGTAGAGGATTGATTGTTGTATGCTGATTAGTCCCCATTATCTCTGACCTGGCAGAGATAGACACGACCCTGCTAAATCTTGGGGGATCCACATACAGACAGGTGTTCCCTGACACAGTCAGTTCATGATACAATTTCATAAAATCATCCATTCCAGAGGATAAGGGGAACAATGGGATCAAATAGGGGAGCTCAGCAAGGTCCCATTTGGGACGTGGGCATGGCAGGGGTAGAAACAGAAGGCTACGCCTGAGAGCATGAGATGGGGACAGTGAGGTGCGGGGCACTGCCCCAGCATGAGAACCTCAAACCCCCCTTGCCATTAGGAGGGAATCGGAGATCACTACTGATTCCTGTAAGGTTAGGTCGGCATGGGGCAGTGTAGTTGAAGGATACTGGACCGGAGCCCCCTGCTGTTCCAGTCGTGGACCCCACGCAGTACTGCCAGTGCCCCTCAACTGACTTGCAGCCCCGGGCTCCCTCTTTTTCTCCCCCTGCCAATGCCCATCAGTCCTAACCTGCAGCCATCCTGCTATTTCTGTTATGGACCCCACTCAGCTCTGTTGATGCCCCTCCATCCTGACCCACAGCTTTCCCCCACCCTCCCGCACGCTAGTCCAGCCTTGGGTTCCAACCCCGTAATCTCCCGAGAGCTCTGCTAATGCCCCGCAGCCCAGACCCACTACCTAGGTGACGCTGCACACTGTGGTACAGGCTCCTAGGGTGACAGGCTCTCTTCCCTCTCGCCCTGCAGTGGGACGCCTTCAGCATGCCCGAGCTGCACAACTTTCTGCGCATCCTGCAGCGCGAGGAGGAGGAGCACGTCCGGCAGATCCTGCACAAGTACGCCCGCTGCCGCCAGAAGATGCAGGAGGCACTGACTACCCGCACCCCGGGCTGAGCCACCCCGTCCCGGACCTGACACTCCAACTGACACCAGGTGGCTAGGAGAAGAGGCGGCGAAGCCAGGCGGACATGGACGGATCCGCTCCGGGACTATGCTTGTGGGTCGGGAGCTCCCCTGCATGGGTGCAGGGAGGTGGGGGGGAGTGTGGGAGGGGGTGGCGGAGGAATGGGAGGTGGGTGGCTCCCCCGTGGGGGGCCCCGGTGCCGTGTGAGGCACAAGTGTGAGCGATGGAGGGGCTGTGTGGGACATTTCCCTGGGGGTGCGGGGTGAACTGCCCCCCCCCCATCATGTGTGCATATATGTGGGGCTGCTGGGTCACTGCTGGGATGGCCGCTTCTGGCTGTGCCTTGGGGAGAGGTGGGGCGGCACAGCCGGTCCGGGTTCATCCTCCTGCCAGGGCCTCTGGCTCCGTTGGGCCTAGCCGTGTCCAGGGATAGATGGTGGCTCAATGTGGACTTTAATGGCAGCCCCTGAACCCTGTTTCCCATTCCTGGGGGGTAGCAATGGACTCAGAGAGTGGGAGGGCCCTGGATCCGTTCAGCCCTGCCCTGTGGCTTGTTAAGCAGGACAGCCAAGACTGCCTGATATAGCCAGACCCTAGTTCCCTGGACAGGTGCAGCCACAGGGCGCTGTGCTGGCAGGCCTGAGGACTCTCTTGATCCAGCTGCGCTTGGGGCTGTCTGTGGGGCAAGCCCAGGGGAATTGCTCCAGGGACCAATGCAGCCCTCAAGACCCTGCATCGGTCTTTCCAGGATCCCCGTTACCAAAGGTGGCCTCGGTAGAGGGCAGCATCCAAAGGAAGGCCAGGAGGAGCTCAGGGGACCACGTGGGGCAACCCCATCCCCAAGTGTATCCTCAATGGAGCTGGTGCCAGGGATGGGTCTACCCACATGGGTATACTGGAGAAGAGGCCCTGGGCGCTGTTGCATGACTAGGTCCATCACATGAATGGAGGGATGACACCCTACAACCTGCCCCCAGCAAGCTCGGTGCATCCTGGCGGGAGCATGGGCCAATAGCAATGGCAAGTAGATAGCATTGGAGGGAGAGGGATGGTAGCCCTAGCCTTGGACAGTCCCTAACCCTTCCCTGGAGGAGCAGCAGACCCTCGGTGCCCAGGGAGCTGGGGCACTGGTGCAGGGCTGCCAGGCTGGAGTGAAGCAACTGAGCCACTCCCCATGAGCGTGTGGGACTTGAGGCCGTGCGAATGCATCCAAGAGGCCGCCTGCTTTGCAGGGGGGCCTCGCTTGGGGATTTGAGTTTTTCAGTGAATGTTTTTGAACTTGACTCTGTTGAATGTCCCGAGCTTCCCAGGGGGGCCGCACTTCCTGGAGGCTCGGCCTGTGCGTGGTGCTGGCTCTGTGTGGATCAATAAATGATTCGGGGCAAGGCTGTTTTCCTGTTTTTGTTTCTTTGGAGCCAGTTTTGGCCCCAGAACGACAACCCTCCAGGCAGATGGTGTCTGCATGACTAGCAGTAGGGCAAGCTCCTATCTGCAGAAGCCAGCACTGCCCAGAAGCAGCCAGCCCTCGGGATGAGAGGGGAGTTTAGTCCCCATGCCCCATCCAGTCCTTGGCGCGACCAGGGGGAGGGCCAGTGCGTCCGACCCGGGCACAGTCTAGCTCACTCACCTATGGGGCCTGCTCGTGGTAGCAACTTTGTCACCACCTGCCTGGGCTTTGTTCCTAGCACTGAGCTGAGCGATGAGGGGCTGTCCCCTTCCTCCCATCTGTGCTGATTGTCCTCTGTGTTTCAAAGTGGAATCCGGCTGGCTGGGGGCATGTCACAAGGGGTTGTGTGGGCATGGCTTTCCTCACTCCACCCACAGGGAAAAAAAATCAGCTGCATTTGTGTCCTGTCTCTGCCCAGCATCAGCTCCTGAGCCTATTCCCCACCCCCACCCCAGTGGCCTCCCACCATGGTTTGCCAGCCACAGCCAGAGGAACAGGCAAAGCCTAAAGGTGCAACAGTTGGGATGCCTGGGCCACACTGAATAGGGAGGCAAAGGGGGAGGTGCCAGCCTGGTGGCAGGTGCCAATGGATCATGCTACGACTACTCTACACTCTGCCTCCACAGAGCCCAACCCTTCTCTACCACCTCCACCCCCAGCCAGGCTATGCCCTGGGGTAGTGTGGGGCAGTTGGGGGGCAGGGACTGTATGTGACTGGGGTCAAGGGGGGAGGCGCAGAGGCAGCAGGTGGACTGGGGGATGTGTGTGATGGGGGGTAGCGGTAGGGGGATGGGAGCTGTGTGGCGTGGGGGGTGGGAGGAGGATGGGGGCTGTGTGTGCCAGGGGAGGGAGAGGGAGGCAGTAGGGAGATGGGGGGGGCTGTGTGTGACTGGGGGTGGAGGGGCGGAGGCAGCAGGAGGGGGATGGGGGCTTTGTGTGATGGGGGGGTGGGAGGGGGATGGGGACTGTGTATGCCAGGGGGATTGGGGGCTGTGTGTGATAGGGGGGTGTGTGGCGGGGTGGAGGCAGCGAGAGGGGATGGGGGCTATGTGTGACCGGGGGCGGAGGGGCAGAGGTAGTGGGACGGGGGCGGTGTGTGCCGGGGGGGGCAGAAGAAGGAAGGGGGCTGTTTGTGCTGGGGGGGTGAGGGCAGTAAGGGGGATGGTGTCTGTGTGTGACATGGGGGGCGGAAAGTGGATGGGGGCTGTGTGTGCCTGGGGGGGTGGAGGGGCAGAGGCAGCAGGGAAGGGGCAAGGGGTTGTGTGTAACGGGGGGCCAGGAGGAGGAGGATAGGGGCTATGTGTGCGGCTGGGGGGCAGGAGGGGGATGGGGGCTGTGTGCGCTGGTGGCGGGGGTGGTGTGGCGGAGGCAGCAGGGGGACTGGGGGCTGTGTGTGACTGGGAGTAGATGGGAAGAAGATGGGGGCTGTGTATGGCGGGGGGGTGGAGGGGCAGAGGCAGTGGGAGGGGGATTGGGGCGGTGTGTGCCGGGGGGGAGCAAGAGGAGGATGGGGGCTGTTTGTGCTGGGAGGGGGGGGGCGATAGGGGGGGGGGTGTGTGTGATGGGGGGGTGGAGGCAGTGGGAGGGGGATGGGCTCTGTGTGTGACGGGTGTGTGGAGGGGCGGGTCAGCGGGAGAGGGATGGGGGCTTTGTGTGCTGGGGGGGTGGAGGTCATCCCCTTTTTCCAGTCACCCCACGCACACTGCCAGCTTTCACTGACCTGACCTTTGACACCCCTTGTTGCTCCTCCTCCTTCTCTTTGTCTCACTTCCGGGGCAAAAGGTGCCACCTGGTTGCATCCTCCTCCTGGGTCACAGGTTACATAGGTGCAAATAGCTGGGCAGCCTCACCTGCCCTGAGGGCCTCAGCAAAAAGCACACACCCAATTCCCACCACGGAAGTATTGGTGCAGTACAGTGGGAAACTAATGTACACACAGTATTAGTATAGGACAGTAAGACTCACATGCAACATAACAAGATGAATAAAACCCCACTTTGTCACACCTGCCTCTGCACTGTGCCCAGCCCTGTGTCTGGGTCATCGGTGAACACCATAAAGGGCTTGTCAAAGTCTGGTTTTCCCAGCACCGGGCCCTTGACCAGATCCTCCTTCAGCGTGCAGAGAGCCCTCTGGCACTGCCCAGTTCAGACCAGCTTGTCTGGCTCACCCTTCTTGCATAGCTCAGTGATGGGAGCTGACACAGAGCTAAAGTGGGGCACAAACCTCCGGTAGTGCCTCGCTATCCCAATAAAGGCCTGGGCCAGTTTCTTAGTCTGGGGAGCAGGCCAGTCTCTGATTGCCCCCACCTTGGCTGGATCTGGCTTTAGGCAGCCACTCCCCACCTTGTGGCCCAGGTACGACCTATCTGCCATCCCCACCTTGAACATCCCAGCTTTTACAGTCAGCCCTGCAGCCTGGAGGTGACTCAGCCCTCTCTTCACCTGGGACACATGGCCCTCCCAGGTCTGGCTAATGGCACAAATATCATCAATGTACGCTAGGGTAAAATTCTCCATCCTCCTCAGTAACTGATCCACCTGGCGCTTGTAGGTGACCGGCACCTCCTGGAGCCCAAAAGGTAGGACCAGGGACTTGTACAGCCCCAAAGGGGTGACAAAAGCAGGTTTCAACCTGCCATCTGGATCCAAAGTCACCTGCCAGTAGCCTTTGGTGAGATCCCTGGTCATGGAGTACCGAGTCTCCCCCAACTTGTCTAGAATTTCATCAGGCCTATGTATGGGCAGGCACCAGACATGGTGATGGCATTGAGCTTCTGATAGGCCACACAGAATCGGATCGACCCATCTTTCCTGGGGACCAGCACCACGGGATGGGCCCCCGGGACTGGTGGATGGCTGGGTCACCCCTAAAGCCAGCATGTCTCTGACCTCTCCCTCCAGGGACTGGGCTGTGTTCCCAGTTACTCTGAATGGGGAACACCTGATGAGAGGGCCGGCTCCTGTCTCCACCTAGTGGACAGCTCCATTAGTGAGCCCAAGCGGGTTGGAAAACAGCTGTTGGTATGAATGCAGCATCTCTCTGATCTGCCTGCTGGGCAGGGGTTAGCTGGTCAGAGAGGGGAATTGATTCCAGCAAGGGGCTGGCTCCTGTCTCAGTGAAGAGACCCACCAGGGGATCTTCCCCTTTTTCCCACTGGCCACACATTCTCCCCATTCAGCTGCTTGATGACCTTGAAGGGCCTGTCCCAGGCAGCTTGCAGCTTATTCTTCCTCAGCGGGATGAGAACCCTCACCTGGTCCCCGGTGCCATAGGCTGAGTGGTCGTACCAGACCTTCTGCCTCCCTTGGGCCCTGGCTAGGTTCTCCCTGGCCGGACCCATGAGCTCAGCAAGCTTTTCCTGGAAAGTTAGTACATACTCCACCACTGATTCTCTATCGGGGGAGGCTTTCCCCTCCCATTTGTCCCTCACCAAATCCAGGGCCACCTTCTGAAAAGGCTCCTCTATGACAGGCAGGTGTCTCAAGGCTGCTTTACCCTTGTCCTGGGCCTTTTGCACCTCTGGACAAGGCAGCCCTGGTTGGCAGCTGTCCCGCCCTGGCTGTGGTTCCCCACACTCAGCTGGGGTTTCCGATCCCCCTGGGCTCAGCTTTGCCCCTGCTGTCCCAGTGAGGGCAGGCAGCGAGCCCGCTGCTTTGCTCACAGCATCAGAGCCAGCCTGAGCCACCTACCCCGTGTGCAGGGGGGTGGGGGTGGGGACAGGGCCGGTGCAAGGATATTTTGCGCCCTAGGCGAAACTTCCACCTTGCACACACACCCTCCCTCCCCTCCCCCTGGAGCATCGCTTATTATAAACTTTCAAAAATGAATGCTGCATAATGTGGCATTGTTTATTAGAATTAATACACGTTCAGCTTGAAAATTTATTAATTTCATTATTTAGTCTACATATTTAATGAAAATAAATGAATAACCTGACAGTGTTGACATTGTTATTGTTTTCACTTTGCACAACATAGCATGGATCCTAAAATAACTACTCCGTCATACAACAACAACTGACAATATCAATATGACAAATTTCAACAAAACTACACACGCATATTCGCACATGATAAACATATACAAAGGCCTTGCGTCTGATGAAGTGGGCATTCACCCACGAAAGCTTATGCTCCAATACTTCTGTTAGTCTTAAAAGTGCCACAGGACCCTCTGTTGCTTTCAACAAAAATAGTTAGCCTCACTCGACAACCTCCAAAAACTAGTAAACTTAGCATTATAAACAGCCTGTCAGAATACGTAACGGCTGTGCACGACAAGAAAAATGATGTCATTGCCACTTTGTACCGTAGTGAAGCAGTATGCTTGTGCCCGCAACGCAGAGCTGGCGTAGGCTATAGCTGTAATGTACGAGAGAAGAATGACAAGTTAAAATGCAAGTTCAACGACGTTTCTCTTTTCTTTATTCATTCATTTTACAGCAATAGTGTAAAAAAAATTTTTGGGCACCACTTTTTGGCGCCCCCAAATCTTGGCGCCCTAGGCAGCCTCCTAGTTCGCCTAGTGGTTACACCGGCCCTGGGCGGGGAGCATCTCTCTGTCCCACTCAGCTCCAGGGCTTTGGTTACAGACAGGCAGGTATCCCGAGCTTAGCAGCTCCTGCCCCCTGCCAGCCAGATCATTTGCATTTTCACTGACCGCTTTAGTCTCAGCCGATTGATTCCCTGGATTCAAATTCAAATCCTCCGCTGTTCTAGGAGCAGGGCATGGATCCTGTCCCAAAGAGACACAGTCATCCCCCAACAGGAGGTCACAGCCGATATCTTGGAAAACCCCAACTACCAGCAGGACCCCTCCTGTGTCTGCACAGGGATCTGACCCATAGGCAGGGCTAGGGGCTTCATCCCTGGGACCTTCACCCAGGTCACACTGCCCCTTAGCATCTGGTGAGGCTGCCTGACAACAGTTCTCTCTGTCCCAAGGTCTCGCCACCCCAGGAATGTCTCCCCATTGACCACCACCTTCTGCTCCCACTGGGGGTCCGAGGGGCCTGAGCCCAGGAGAGTCCATGCAGACATATATTCTGGGGCCAGGAGTGAGGGCCAGTCTGCCACCCCGCCCATCTGGCTAAACAGCTCTATGGCCTTGGGACCCAGGAAGGGGGCTAGTCACCAGAGCCTTTCCGCAGGGCCAGCCTGGTTCCAAGTGCCAGCCTACCCAAAGGCCACAAGACTGGCATCTATATCTTCCCCATCCTTAACCTGGGACAGCAATTTTGTGTGGAGGTTCTCTGTGGAATTGGCATCCCGGGGTCCATCCCCACTCACCCCTGGACAGGTCTTTCTGCCTCTCAGCTCAGCTATTGCCAGTTCATGATGCCTCTGTCTCTCCTGCTGTTCTGCTTCATACCTTCCCTGTCTCTCATGGTCCTCAGATTCCTTTGATCTCAGCTCCAATTCCATCCATCTCAGATCCACCAACAGGGGAACCTGGTGGAGACCTGCTGGTCAGGGACACAGGTCTCCAGGACATCCGGCTGCTCCCAACCCCTCTTGCGGCCCCAGCTGGGTCAGGAACTGGTGCGGGCCCTGGGGCTGCCTGGCTGCTCCGAGCCTCTATCGCGGCCCCAGCTGGTTCAGGAACGCACTTCTTAGAGCGATCCTCCTCTTCCAACTGAGAAATCAGCTGTGCCTTAGTGAGCTTTTCAATGCGCAGCCCTCTCTCTCTGCACAGCTCTACAATGTCCTTCTTAAGGAGATGGTTATTGGCCATCTCCACACTGTTCCCAAGTGGTGACTGACTCACAGGCCTGTGCTCTCTCAGCTCCCCATGATCCCTGAGAGGAACCCCTTCAGTGCGACAGCCCTTCTCGGGGATCCAATCTCTCTCAGGGTTAAGCTGTAGGCTCCTCCGCCTCCTGGAACTGCACCTCTCGGAGCCTTCAGCGCCCATCTCTCACTAATCCCGCTTCGTTTTACTGCTCTCCAGTCACTTACTGCAGGATGCTCTGTCCATGGGGTGCAGTTTATCCCGCCTCTGCCACCAGTTATCACAGAGTCACTGGAGCGATGCTCTGGAACTACTCCCTATGAAAACAGTCAGGACTCTGTGGGAGCCTCCTCTCTCTGAGCATACTGTCTCCAGGTCAAGAAGCTTACATAGCTTTGACCTTCCTGGGTCTGACCTTGGAGCATTCAGCATCCCTTTCCACACTGTGCGCTTCCCACAGCGAGCCCGCCCAGGCGGGGCTCCTGGGGAAGTCAGAGGGCCCTGCACCCCAACTCCATTGTCAGATGTGACTCTCAGCCAGCTGATAAAACAGAAGGTTTATTAGTCGACAGGAACACAGCGTAGGACAGAACTTGTTAGCACAGAAATCAGTGACTTTTAGCTAAGTCCATAGGGGGAGGGGAGCCCAGAGCCAGGGTTCTGGTTCTCACCCTGCGCCCCAAGCCAGCCGAGACTGACTTGCTTCCAGCTGCCTGGCCCCTGCCCTGCCCATTGCTCCTCCTCTGGCCTTTGTCTCCTTCCCGGGCCAAGAGGCACCTAGTAGCATCCCCCTCCTGGATCTCAGGTTATGTAGGGGTGGTCATAGCATCCATGCTGGCAGCTGGTACAACCCCCACAAAAGTCACACACCCTTATTCCCACCACCTAGGCATTGGTGCAATACACAGGGAAACTGAGGCACACACAGCATTCATGCAAAACAGTAAGACTCACTTAGAACATAACAAGGGAAAATCCCCATTATGTCACACTGGAGGCTGTGCGTGATGGGGGGGGGCGGGAGGGGGGCTCTTTGTGCCGGGGGGTTGGAGGGGCAGAGGCAGCAGGGGCACTGGGGGCTGTGCGTGACCAGGGGGCAGAGGAGGCAGCGGGAGGGGGATGGGGGCTGTGGGGTGGAAGGGCAGAAGCAGCAGTGGGACTGGGAGCTGTGTGTACCGGGGGTGTGGAGAGGCAGAGGCAGCGGGAGGGGGAAGGGGGCTGTGTGTGCCGGGGAGGCGGGTGGAGGGGCAGAGGCAACAGGAGGCAGGCTGTGTGTGATGGGGGGGTGGAGGAGCAGAGGCAGCAGGAGGTGGATGGGGGCTGTGTGCGCGATGTGTGTGTGAAAGGGATGGGGGCTATGTGTGCTGGAGGGGTGGAGGCAGCAGGTGGACTGGGGGCTATGTGTGACTGGGGTCAGGGCGGAGAGCGCGGGATGGGGGCTGTGTGTGGAGGCAGCAGGGGCATGGGGGCTTTGTGTGATGGGTGGTGGTGATGGAGGAGCGGAGGCAGCGGGAGGTGGATGGGGCATGTGTGTGCAGGGGCTGTGTGACCGGGATCAGGACGAAGGCAGCGGAAGGGGAATGGGAGCTGTGTATACCAGGTGGGGACGGAGCCGGGAACTGGGCCTACAGCCCCTAACCTCCGACCGCAAACTCACAGCATCACGTGAGGGGGAGTAGCCTCACAGTGTAGCCCCGCCCCTCGGTCCCTGATCACGTGAGGTGGAGTCACCACCCCTCCTCTGCGGCACGTGAGGCGGGCGCCCCTCGCGGCCGGAAGTGGCGTAGGGCGGGACGGGAAGTGGCGTAGGGCGCTCTCCGTTGCTGGGCTCCGCGGAGGCGCCGGGCGGCTCCCGCCTCCCCGGGCCATGCTCCCGCCCTGAGCATGGGCGCCAGCGGCTCCAAGGCCCGCGGCCTCTGGCCCTTCGCGTCCCCCGGGCCGGGCGGTGCCGCGGGCCCCGGCGGGGAGCAGGCCCTGGCTCGGGCGCGCGGCTGCCGCAGCGCTACCCCATTCGTCTTCACCCGCCGCGGGTAAGGGCGGGCGGCTGGTTTCCGTAGGGCAGGGGGTGGGTTGCTATGCGGCGGGCTGCCATGGGATGGGGGAGCTGGTTTGCAGGGGGTGGGTTGCTGGGGAATGGGCTCCCATGGGGCAGGGGACCTCATTTTCTTGGGGCAGGGAGTGGGTTGCTATGGGGTGGGGTCCTGTGGGATCGGGGGGCTGGTTTCCATGGGCTGTGTTGCTGTGGGAATGGGGGGTGTTGGGGTTTGGGCTCCTGTGGGGCAGGTGGCAGCCTGCAGCTTTCCATGCGGCAGGAAGGTGTCAGAGCTGGAGGGAAGCGGTGGCTGGGGGCTGCACATCATGTTGGGAGGGATAGCTCAGTGGTTTGAGTATTGGCCTGCTAAACCCAGGGTTGTGAGTTTAATCCTTGAGGGGGCCATTTAGGGATCTGGGGCAAAAATCTGTCTGGGAATTGGTCCTGCTTTGAGCAGGGGGTTGGACTAGATGACCTCCTGAGGTCCCTTCCAACCCTGATGTTCTATAATTCGCTATACAATCCTCTACCCCCCTGTGCGATGCCTTTCTCCCTTACAGGCCACATTCAGATGAGCATCTTCTGCTGTGAAGTGGCCCTTGGGGTGTCCTGGTGGGCATGTGGGGTCCAGGGGTCTGCACCAGACAGCTGTAACATCTGAGTAAACTGTCACATCCTGGCAAATCTGAGGCTCAGGTGGGCACCATTATGCCCCAAGCAACCTTATCTGGAGCCTTATAGCACCCAGTGATACACAGCACGTGCAAGTACCTCTGGTCTATATGTTTGTATCCATGGAATATTCCCTGTGGTGCCCCTCTAGGGGGGACTGCAGAGTCTCCATTAAAGTTATGCACTTTTTTAGTGATTAGAAGGTACAGTTTGGATACAGGATTTGCACCCTGACGCCCTATGTAGCAGGCTGGGAGGAGGATGGATTTGCCTATAAGGGGCATTCACTATAAAGGGGAGAGGTTTCAGTGGTAGCCGTGTTAATCTGTATCAGCAAAAAAAAAAACGAGGATTCCTTGTGGCACTTTGGAGACTAACAAATTTATTTGATACATCTGATGAAGTGGGTTCTAGCCCATGAAAGCTTATGCCCAAATAAATTTGTTAGTCTCTAAGGTGCCACAAGGACTCCGCTTTTTTTTTTTTTTATAAAGGGAGAGGGTGCTGAGGTCTGGGAAGACAGAAATGTTACACTTCCCAGGGCTCTTGGCAAGAATGGGGGAGGGGCAAAACAAAAGGCTCTGAGTGGAGTTTGTCACCACTAACCTTTGGAATATAGCTCCCCTCAGTGGCATCTGTGCACAGATAAGAGTATATCATTTCTTTTGATTTGTCTCCTTTTTATTTAAAAATAAATAGTGCATCTAATTGCAGCTCTTAATCAGATCTGATTTTAAGGAGATAGAACTGACTTTCGGGCCAAGGAGATGGGACTTTACCTTTGGGGAGGAAGAGTGAACGACTGAGTCCAGCGACCCAGCTGTGTCAAGGTCTCAAAGAGGGGCCCAAGAAGAGCTGTGCTCCCTGCCTTATGTGGTGTCACAGTGGGGTGAGGAATAGCCCCTCAATTATAGAGGTACCAGGGTACCAGTCACTTAGATGTGCAAAGTCAGTGGTGTTCAGTAGCAGCTACTCCTTCAGTGAGAAGCACAGACTGTACTTACTGAGGCAAAGACATGGGATCCTGCTGGTTGCCTGCCATCCAAGCTTCATGCATTGGGGCAGGGCAAGTCCTATCACCAGTTTAGATTGAGGCTCCTGTTGTGCTTTTTGCTGATCACTGTGTCTAGAGTTATTTCCCATCAGTAGCTGTTTGAGACTTTTCACCTCTGGAAAAGCCTCAAGCCTTTTGCCAAGAACTTGGAAGCAGACTGTACCTGCCAACAAAATTCTGTCTGATCTTTGTGCTATTCTGTGGAGCAAATCTGGCAGGGGCAGCCGTATAGTCCTATTGGGGAGCTAGCGGACTGTTAGCAGAGAGGGAAGTAAATGTAGAACTGCAGCTAATGCCTTTATCTTAGTGACTAGGTTGAAATGGATTGCCTCCGTCAGACCTATTTGCACCACAAAGTTGTTTTTTTGCCAGTTCTTAAATTGTGATTAATATTGTGCCAAAATCCTTGACTTTTGCTTTGGGTTCATTTCCTCCTAATTAGCTGTTGGCATACTGGTGTCCCTCCTCTCTTGACAGGAGAGTGGCCAGGTGCATCTGAATCAAATGGCATAGCTGGCAATTTGTTGCCTGTGGCTAGCTGAAATTCTACCACTCTTCCTTGGATATAAAGGAAGGTGTAGTAACTGATGTTTATCAGGGAATTGGCATCATCACAATATCCCTCTTTTGTCTAGCCCAAATCAGTAGCTTGTCTCTCTTTATGCCCACAAGCCAGTCGGGAAGTTCAGGATTTGCAATGTGTGGAAACAGGGCGATTCAACAGCAATCCAAAAGTCCGCAGTTGGGCCTTTATTTTTTGTTTATATGTGGCTTCTGTGTAGAAAGGAGGCTGTGCTACTCTCTCATCCCATGTGTGGCTTCTTTAGAGGTACCAGTATATTGCTTTTGTATCTTATGTTCATTTCGTGGATAGGGTAGCATTGGATGGTGTAGCATGGGAGATGTCAGTGTTGTAGCTGTTGTTTGTGTCATTGGAGGACTTCAGATACATGTGGGTCAGCTGTACAAATCTTGGCACACTCAGTATCTGTGTGTGCATGGAGCTGTGGTGTTTACATTAGTTCATATGTGCAATCTTAGTGCTATATGGTAAAATTGGTTCAGTCCCATAGAGAAAGGGAAGGATGTTCAAACATATCATAAACTGGGACAAGGGGGAAGTTGATAGCTGAGTTGATTCTGGGGCCTTTTACCACCAGGTCACGGGTTCTGATATAGATCCATTAGTAATGACCCAAGTTGGTTATCACCTGATGATTTAGATTCCTGTGAAATAAACTGGCCATCTCACTTTGGATCCTAGTAAAGAGGTGTTTACATCACAAAACCCACCATCTGTGTGCCTTGATTAGCTCCAATGCTAGCAGATAAGCCAGGCACTGAATAGATCAGACTGAATTCCCCTCTTGCCACAAGAAATCCCCAAGTCATCTAGTGACTTATTTTCCCCTTTAACTGCAGCAGTCTCTCTTGGGGTAGGAGAGAGTGCTATTGAACTGCAGGGTCCCCATTTAGTGAGCTTAGTTTGTGGTTCTTATTTCATGCCTGATCCAAGTGTGCTCTCTCTTAACTTAAAACTAGGTGTGTTTGAGCAGTGAACGTAAGACTTGATCTTGTAGTTAAAAATGGCCTTGTACTCTTTGTGCTGAATAGCTTTCTAGCTTGAGCTTGCTTGTCCAAGAGTGAAACTCTTCTGGTGGCCGTTGTACCCTGGAGTGCTACAGATCTGCCAGTGTGTGCATGGAATCAGAGCTGGGAAGCATGCTCGGTGCTGATTTACCATGGCTCCATTGGTCTGTATTTAACTGCTTATAATTGCTTTTGTACAAAACCAACCCTCCAGCTGTGTGAGTTGATAGCAAACCTTATCTCTGTATGCAGAATGGGAGAAGAAGCTGGAGCTACTGCTCCCATTCTCCCATCTCACCCCTGGTTTGGCCAGGCCCCTGTGATGGAGGGACTGCAATCTCCATGGTCCATTTAGTCCCTTACCTCTCCACCGAGCCTGACTGTGCAACCTCGGGGTGGGCTGATCTGCCTACACAGCAGCTGCTGGCACTTCCACTGAAATCTGAGCACTGTATGTATTTAATGCCAGTTGTCTGAGTGGCTTTATGATGCGGATTTCTGTCCTGCTAGGTACTGCACTGAGGCCAACTTCTTGTTTCACAGCTGTCAGATGGAAATGACTCTTGGCTGCTGACCCAAGCTGACAGGCTCCATATCCCATTTCCCAGTCCCATGATGCCCAGCCCTCTCCAGTGTGTAATGTCCAAGACCGCTGATCTCTGCTAGCCCACTCATGCCCTCTTCCCAAAAAGTTTGGGTAGGGATCATTGATGTCCAGTCCTCCCAGTCTCTTATGTGCTCCTCTCCTCATTCCTTTGCAGCTCCATGTATTATGATGAGGATGGGGATCTCGCCCATGAATTCTATGAGGAGACAATTGTCACCAAGAATGGGAGAAAGCGCGCCAAACTGAAAAGGATCCACAAGAACCTGATACCTCAGGTAACGTGCTCAGAAATAAAAGTGACCCCACTGTGAGAGATTTTGGCCCTTTGAAGTGTCACCTGATGTGCTGGGATGCCACTGAGTCAGCCTATTCTGCCAGCCTGGGTTTCTTCACCTGGTCTTGCTGGGCTAGGCTCACAAGCCTCTTCCAATCAAGCACACAGGCAGGGCCACACCCAGCTGCACAGAGAGACAGAGATCCACTCTGGAAAGATTTAGCCTTAGAGGCTTACCCCAACACTCTGGTGCCCACTCCCTTTAAGGGGTACAAACCCAAAGGTTTTATGAAATTCACCCCCTCCCTTAAAATGGAGGGAGATATGCACAACTTCTTGCCCTCCCCCACCCCCATTAGAAATTACATAAACTGGGTTATATTATAAAGAAGAAATAAGTTTAACAACTACAAAAGGTGAATTTTAAGTGAACATAAGAGGTAACAGACAGAACAAAGCAGATTACTGACAAAATAAAACAAAATGTGCAAGCTGGGCTCAATATACTTAAGAAACAGGTTACAAAATGTAGTTTCTTACCCTAAATGTTATTTTAGGCAGGTTGCAAAGTTTATGTGGTTCAGAGTTCCAGTTATATTTCTTTTCAGACTGGACCCCTGTCTCAGTCTGGACTCCTCCCCTGTCTTCCCTTCAGGTGGCTTTAGTAGTCTTTCTTCTTGGGCAGACAGGCCATGGATTGGCGTCCCGTTCTCCTTCCTTCCCACCCTTAAATAGGATTTACATAAGGCGTGAATCCTTTGTTTCCCAAACTTGACTCCTTCCCTTCCAGTGGAAAGTTACAAGAAGTCCCAGGTAATGTTTAGTATCAGGTGATAAGACCACCTGACTCTGTAGTATCACAGCGTCCATGAGTCAGTGGCAGTATGGAGCATCCTCAGGAAGGCCAAGCCTTTTCACAGTCCATTGTCCTCGTTGATGGATCATCAGCCTGTCTGGCTTTTCCATTGTAGTACCAGAAGTGTTAGCAGTGGGTGTCACCCAAAGTAGCATAGCTGAAATACAGATACATAGTCAATATTCCTAACTTCAGATATAGAAATGATGCAGGCAAACAAATTGGATAATCGCATTCAGTAAATTATAACCTTTCAAATGATATCTTACAAGACCCATCTTGCATAAAGTACATCTCAATTATGTCATATTCATATAAGCATATTTTCATAAAGAATATGGAGTGAAACATCACAGTGTGCCACACTGAAAAGGATCCACAAGAACCTGATACCTCAGGTAATGTGCTCAGAAACAAAAGCGACCCTTGTGGGGACTCGACTGGTAATATATTAGCGTGCTATGCAGGTCGCCTGGGTTCCTTTGTGATCTCTTACCCATGGGGCACCTAGGATTTGTGCCAAGTCTCATCCCCTAGAAGTCTAGTGGTAGCTGACTGCAATCCGAACTAGATATGCCTATGGGACGGTGGCTTTCAACAGTACATGGAAATCTTTTGCCCAGATTTCTCTTTCTGCTCAAAGCTCCTGAAGGGAAGGGTGAGTATTCCACCTCCACCCTCGTGGCCAGGCCTCCTTGTTCTGAAGCAGAAATGATAAGATTGAGTAGAGAGCACCTATGTATGGGGGTGTTTGGCTCAACCTCCCTACCTCTCACTGACAGGGGTGAGAGAAACAACTATTAAATAACTTGACGGTTTTAAACACTAGTTTCCAGACAGCAAACGCCAGGGAAGCTCTGGCATTGGTATACCCCATGGAGCCACTTGATGGCGCCAGTCTGGAACAAAATCCAAACTGTGACTTAGTGAACTGGCACAGTGAGGTCAGGGAAACCAATTAGCATGATACACTTGTGTCAGGAAGTCCCTGCTTTCTGAAGCCAACAATCTGACCTTAAAAATGAACATTGACTCCCTGTTCTGTGATTTACAGTATTAACACTCAGCATTGATATAAAACGTCTTCATTTTTAAACTTTTCGCTCAGGTCCTTGGATTTATCTTTTATTATGAACTGTAAAAGGAACAATATAACAAACTGTCCTAAAATCAGGCAAAAGAATAAATGGGGCGGGAGAGTCAGATATAGGAAGGGACCGGAGGACCAGAGATTCTAAATGTGGGGTATTGGTTATGATTTGACTAGTTTTCAGGGGTTTAAAATTCAGAAGTGCTGAAGCAGATGTTAGGGTAGAGCAGACTTCATGCCAACACAGCAGTACTGCCTCTAGGTCAGTGAAAATGGGTGTGTTGTCGCCATCTGACAGCAGTTCAGTGGCTACTATGACATGAGTTTGTCTCAATCCAGCTTCTAGTGGGCAGCTGTCCATATTGCACAGTTGCCACTAATTGGTGCCATTGTTGGCATTCTCAGGAGAGAGGCTGAATGGACTGTGGGACGCAAGCTCCCCTTTCACTCCTTGAGGGGATCCATTTGGACGGTGGAGTGAGGCACATAGACAGGATGCAGTTTCTACCACCACTACCTGTGCTGTATTTGTTTTATGGATAGGGGACCTTATTCTCCAGGACTGTTGGGCTGGCACCTTTCATGAGCACTAAAAATAAACTCCGCCTAGCTGTGGCTTTTTGACGGGACTGATATAACAATGAGTATGGATGAATCCCTGATTTCTATGGCCCCTGCTAGCAGGGGCCATGGGAATTCTCATCTGTTCCAAGGCTTTTGTATGTAGTTATGAAGGTCTTGTTTATTTTGCAAAATACATTTGTTGCATTCAGGCTATACCCAATCACCCATATGAGCTGGTGCCACTTTCTAGCAGTAGCTGCCATGTGACAGAACCAGTCCGCATTGTCATGAACCAAGCAAGGCCCATTAATTGGGAGGCCACAGGTCAAGCCATTCCCTAGCTGCTTTTTTTCATGTTACACTCCTGCAAAAACTGTGGCTGTTCTCCAAAAAATACAGATCTTTTATTAAATGTAATAAAACTGTTTTCCTCAGTTTTTGTCATCCTTGCACTAGGCCTTTGTCCTTCGCTAGCGCCTTATAGTTCTGGCCCTCCAGAAGCCTTGCAAACACAAACTAACCAGTTCAATTCCAAGAAGCATTGTCACCATACTGCAGGTGGAGAAATGTCTTCTCTTCCCATATTCTAAACACTAGACCACATTCCCAGCCTCTCGTAAGTCTAGTGAGGATTGCCCTGGTTCAATCTAGTTCTGATCCCCCTGTGAAACCAGAGCATAAAGCCTACTAAGTGCACACATCCTTTGCCTATAGACCCTGAAGCTACTTTGCTTTCTGATGTGTTTGTAATGGAAGAATATTCACATCAGAGCACATTAAATGCCTAAGGCTTAGAGTTCTGCTTTAGTTGATACAGATGCTTTTTATGTTCACAGTATCACTCCTTGGCCAGAAAGCTTGCTTATGCACAAGGGTCTTAGATCTTTTCTTCTTTTCGGTCACTTAGAGGCCTTTCTTTTCCAGTCTTTTAAATGACTTTTAACTTAAAGGTGCCAGACTAACAGCCCTGGAAGCTGGTGACCTTCTAGTCATGGATCAGGTGGAACATGGGCAGTGACAGGCCGAGCTGCTTCCCCCCACTCTCCTGCCATTGTCGTTCAGACCTGTCGTGCTCAGCATCCTAGGATCTGAGCACCTTAGTCTCATTTTTAGGGGCTAGTTCTAGCAGCGCATCCAGTCTGTTTTGCCTGCCTGGTGCTCAGAGTGTGAACCAACAGTTCAGTTGTGATGGTTTAATGGACTCTTGTCCATTAAGAACTGGACTGGGACATAAGCTCTATTGTCTGTCTCCATCTGCAGTGACTTGCAGAGCATGGGTCCTTTGTTTGCAGGCCTTTTCTTAGGACTCTGCTCTGGGCAGTGTCTCCCCGCCTCACTACCTTCCTTGCTCTCTTTTCAGGGTATAGTGAAACTGGAGCACCCTCGCATTCACGTGGACTTCCCCGTTATCATCTGTGAGGTCTGAGCTGCGGGGGGAGCGTGAGTTGCTGCTGTGTGCTGTCAGTGCATCCGACCTGCCCAGCCTTACTGCACCTAATGTAACCACACAAGGCTGCCTTGTGTCCCTGAACCACAATGGACTGCAAGCACAGATGCACATACTCTTGACTTTAGAGCTCCTCTTGCCTGGAGGAGGAGAATGAGATGGGGTGGTGCAGAATCGGCTAGTTACCTGGAATAGAATTGGCTAGGGATCTGTTCACAAGTCAGACAAGACATGTGAACTTGTTTAGCAACATGCTTAACAATACCCTCGACTGAGTCAGAAGATTGAAATCCTTCTCGTGGCTGCCGTCAGATGTTTGGATGGATCACTGAACTGCCTGTGACACTCGTGTTTGAGGTTTTAAAGGGAGAGCCATCCTGCATCTCTCGCCGAACAAAATCCCTGCTTCGCAGGTACCTGCCCCAGGTAGAGTTGAGGTCAATTAATTCACCTCTTTGGGGCTAGGGGCAGACCCCTAATGCCCCTTCCCTACGAAGTGGTGATGAATAAAAGGGTAGTAGTGTAGTTTATTCTTTGTGGGGGGTTGGTTATGCAGTACTGTCCCCAAGTTGGTCTGGGAATGGAGTGTAAATGGGGCGGTCTGAGGTGAAGCTAATCTCGAGAACCCCACTGAAACAGAGTAGCACTTCTCGGGAAGGTAGGAGACCAGATTTCATTGCATCAGACCTCAGTCTCCTCTTTTATATGGCCCCCTCCCGTGCTCAGCGTTATTTTGTACTTCCTAGCGATATGGCTCGTCTGGTCCCCAGAAGCCTTTCCAATGGCTCTAGATACCCCGGCTCAGTTGTTGGTGTTCAGACCTCTCCGAAAATCCATTGGCCACTGGTGGCGCTGTGCAGAGCCAGCAGAGCAAACAGTCCGATCTTTGCAGCAAGATCAATGGACACTGCTGGAAGCAGCAGCAGTGCTTAGAGCTGAGTGACTGGGCTGGCAGCCCATGTTAACCCACACAGCTTTGCAGTTAGGATTCGCGCAGCAGGGCTTAGCTTGCCACCCATTAGCATGCGTCTGCCTTGGCGGGAGCAGGCTGCGCTCCTGTTGAGTGGCGTTCTTCCCCCTCTTGAATCTGGTGTGTTGAAGTGCAGGGTACAAGGTATGACCTCTTGTATTAGCCATAGCGTTTATTTTGGGGCTCAGTCCCTCTCAGAATGCGGTTCTGGGTAACTTTCACATGTTTATCAGTTGTGCCCCAGTGCCGACAGCATGCCCTGGCTGTGTGTAACTGTGATAGAGCTAAGGCAGGAATGAAGAGTTAGCTTTTACCCTCTAAAGCAGTTGGCGTCAGCCCCCTCCTGTCTTGGAAACCTCCCTGAGGTATGAAGCCTGGGTTCTTCCACTGCACCCATTCCTCTCTTTCTCCCTGTGGGGACAAGAGGGAATGCATGCACTTTAATGGAAGGTTCTCTCTTCCCCACCCAACTTGATAAAGCTATTGGGTCGGCCCCCTCTGCCAGCTAGACTCATGGTGGCAGCACTGAAACTGCGCATTGGTGCGTCTGCCACTTCATGCCTGCTTCCTCGTTTGAAGGATTGAGCGCTAGCTGGCTGCTGCTGAGCCAGGGTGAGAGTACCCCATCCCAAACACTAGAAATCGTGATCTCTCGGCTCCAGCTTACATGAGAATGGGCAGGGTCGCTGTGCACAAGCAGGATGTCAGGGATCCTTACCACTATCTACCCCTCCAAGAACTCTTGTGAAGCTTTAAAACTGGATCAAGATGTGGCTCCCGCAGCGGTCAGCTTATTAGAGACATCTCGTTTCCCCTTCAAGAGCATGTCATTTACGTTCTGAGCACTTCAGACATTTGCTACCTCGATTTTTAATTTAAGCTGCTGGTGCAAAGTTGCTAGCAGTATCGGTGTGTCTGTATTGGATGTATCCCTCTCCACACCCCTGAGAACAGTTCTAGGGGCTGTATGCCATTCTGATAGGGGGTCTTGTAGTTAGCAATAGCAATGCTGGCTCTGTCACTGTCTCCCCATAACCTCAGACTCGGCCTTGTTCCCTGATCGCTCTCTGTAGTGGTTGGAGTGAAACCACAGCACTGAGGGACCAAAGGTTCTGCTCCTCACTTCCCCTCCCCAGCTGGCATGGAAGTTGGTTTCACAGATAGAATGCTTGTTACAGCTCCAGAAGAGAGCACTTTTACACTGTGACACTGAGCATTTCCTTCTAGATCAGTGTTCTTCCACCTACTTGGAAAAGTCGCTCTTAAAAAAATATCCTATTAAAGTGTCCCTTGTTTGCACCAGCCATTCTCTAGCAGGTGACTTGGGTTCATCTCAGACCAAGGCTCACAGATCTCCTTGAAAGAGGCACATCTCTGGTGGCAGAGCCGGGCTGGAGGACACCATCTCCAACAAAGGAAGGGATCAAGCTATGTGAGGCTGACTCAGCCCTGGACCCCTGCTCTGATATGGGGAGACTTAGCAGTGAAAACTATCCTCTTGCTGCTGCTTGTGCGGTGTGTGCAGGAGACAACTTGGGCTGAGAGCCTTCCTGGCTTCTCTTGATGGAGGCGAGAGACTGCAGGAGGCCACTGGCCTCCTCCTGAGTGAAGAGCAGTATTGGTTAGGTACTGAGTGGTGGGTGGAATCTAGCACTGGAGAAATGAGGTGTTTGGTATGGAGGAGAGTGCATGGGGAGAGAGAAATGAGAACCGTTGGCCAGTATCTTATTCCCCCCGCATGTCCCCTGGAGCAGAGGTTGGTAGGGCTTCACCTCCCATGTGCTTTGGTGTGGGGTGTGGTACCTGTGTTTGCAAATGCAGGAATAGGCTCTTCTTCCTTGTGCTGCGCAGGTTTGGAGCAGCAGGGTTAGATCTGTGTTCTGAATGCCAAACTGGCCTAGGGCAGTGTCATGGGCTATGCCAGGTGGAGCCGGCCGTTGTTAAACAAGCTCCGTGCCAAGAGTTGGTCAGAAATGAGTGAGCTGAATGGTGAGCTAGCTCTTTTGGGGAAGATTGTATGGAGGGAAAGGCAAGATGCTTCCCACTAGTATAAAAGAGAGAGAGCAGGGAGGGGGGTTAGAGTCCTGAGCAGGCTGAGCTCCCCCTTCTGTGATTCACAGAAACCATCTGCACACCACAAGCAGCGGGATGAAGGGCTTGACTCTGGAAGGAGATAGTGTGTTTCATAGCAGCAAGCAGGGTGGGCAGAGCTTGTCAAATGGCTTTCACAGAGGAAGCCATGCCCTCCCCTTTGCATGGGGGTTTGTGTAGCACATCTTCACCTTGGCAAACCCTTGCTGGGCTTGGGAGCGGGAAGGGGTTGCCCACTGCACAGTGAGTAACACTTTTGAGTTGCCCAGCCAAGACTAAAAGGCACTAGGTATGTCTACACTGCAATTAAAAACCTGTGGCTGGCCTGAACCAGGTGACTTGGGCTCACAGGGCTAAGGGGCTGTTTAAGTGCAGTGTTGACTTTCAGGTCCAGGCTCAAGGACCCTGTGAGGGCTGAGGGTCCGAGCCTGAAAGTCTACACCACAATTAAAGAGCCCCTGAGCCTGAGTCAGCTGGCACAGGCCAGCTGTGGTATCGAATTACAGTGCAGACATACCACTGTGTGCAGAGTACAGTGTCTGTTTCTCACGTCTGGCCGTAACATAGTAGCTGAGCCCTCTCATGTTCTTTTACTGGCCGCCTTGCTTCTGAACAGGGAGAGGTGGCCAGAGCACCCTTCGCTCAGCAAAGCACCATGGGTAACCTATAGCCACTTTCACTGTCCTTTAAATGCTCTGAGACAACCTGTTGGGGAAACTCCCTCTTTTCACATACCCCGAGCAATCCAATCAGAGCCTTCCCCCAAGGAAGGGCTCATTCCACCCTACTTCTAAGTCAGCAGGCTTCCTACCCCTCTTCCTGACCCACTTCTTTCTAGGCTGGTTAGCACACTGGGGTTGAAGCTGTGCAGTCAGTCTGCATGGATTCTAGAATCCCAGCTTTTCTCTCCCCCAACCCTATTTCCTAGTAGCTCCGGTCCCCTTGAGCCTACACAGATGGGATGAGGACCACCCTTGGGAACTGCTGAAGGGATATTTAAAATGTGAAGGTGATTGTAAATAGTATCTATGTCCACTATATTGTTGAAGCAAGCAAAAAAAAAAACCCACTTGGTTTCTTTTCAATTTTTTTACAACTTCTTTCTGTGCGACTTTGTGCTTTCAAGTGTGGATGTGTAGAATTGTACCCACCAACACTACACTTACAGCTCCTCTAGCGAATGGATAGGAGTTTCCAATTCAAACATGTACAATATTTATGGACCTCCTTCCTCTGCCTTTGAGTGCATCTGTCAAATTTTGTTAAATTTCAATAAAACTATTTGTAGATCCCAAAAGTTCCAGAGCTGTCTTATTTTTGGAGTGTGATTTAGTAACTGGTCTTACTGCCTCTGTATGTAATGGACAGACAGGACATATTAGAGCTAACATGGTGTGAACTTACCATGCAGGCTTTACCCATACAGATGTCACAGCCCCTGTAGCAACCCCCTCCCCCCAAGTTCTACTCAGGGGCCTTACCTGATTCTCTCTCCCCTTCAGTTGTACTGACACAAGGAAAGACTCTTCTGAATTGTGCTCAGACATAGGGCTCGCCTGAGGGACACAAATCTGTCTGCTTACATCCACCTCAGGATCTCAATCGATGTCTCTAAAGCATGGTGTTTTGTGCCATCTGTTTTGTGGTAGTAAGTAAAAGCCACCAGGTTGGGTTGTTCATTAACAGATTCATAAATAGAACAGCCGTAGTGGCTTTGGAATCTATCTGTGAAGTCTTTATAAAATTAACAGAGCTCATCTCCATCTGATCGAGCTTATCCCCTATAATCTCACAACTGTTTTCAACTGATGGGGGGGGGGGAGAGGCAAAGCTAAGCACAGCTGCTCTTTAGACTCCTGCAGCCCAGTGAATGCTTCTAATCACCCCACCCCACTTGAGATCACAGGCATGTGGTACCTCGACATGCTTACACCTCACATTATTACTACATAGGCCGTTCAAGTGCCATGTGTGTGGATGCAGTTTGTGGTATTGAACACATGAACGGTTAGCCTTGGGGGCTATCTGAGTGCTGAAGCTTGGATTATGTGGTGTTGAAGTTTATTTACATCATGGTGGTCTTGGTTGTGATCTTGAGGTCCTAAGGCCTGGTCTACACTGGGGGGTGGGGAGAGATCGATCTAAGTTACGCAACTTCAGCTACATAAATAACATAGCTGAAGTCGACGTACTTAGAGCTACTTACTGCGGTGTCTTCACCACGGTGAGTCGACTGCTGCTGCTTCCCCATCGACTCTACCTGCACCTCTTGCCAAGCTGGAGTACAGGAGTTGACGGGAGAGCGCTCGGGGATCAATTTATCACGTCAGACGCGATAGATTGATCCCCGCTGGATCACTCGCTGGCCGGTAGTGAAGACATACGCTAAGATGTGAGTGATCCCCTTGCAGGTACTGGAGAAGCAAATGGGCAAGTCCTTTATGGATTTGGTAGAGTTAGTTTGCAAGGATTAATGTAGCAAGAATTGCAAATTTGTTGCCCCTGACACCACAGTTGTAGTTGCAACTGGAATTCGGATGATCATCAATCATGTTTATTTATAGTAGTGCCTAAGGACCAATCAAGAACTGTGCCGGGAGCTGTAAAAACACATAACAGGAGGCAGTTCCTTCCCCGAAGAGCTTGTAATCTAGATGAGACAGACCCACAGAGTGGAGGGAAAAGGGTAGAACACAGCAGTTGAGTAAACAATGTGGTGTTGGCAAAGGTGGTGGTGGTCCATGATTTTTTTGGGTGGGTTCAGACAGGAGCCTTGGTTTGATTCCCACTTTTGACTTATGA